TTTGTCAAGAAAATGGTGTGATTAATATATTCAAATAAAGATAATAATAAAATAAATATAGAAAGATAAGTAATACGAAAAAGAAAAAGAAGAAAATAGAAAGAGATAAAAAGAAGTAAAATATTATCGAATTAAATATATAATTCAAATATCATTATAACTAAGTTTTATTATAACTGTGTTTTTTGTTCATGTGTTCTTATATTAAATTATTGTTAATATTGAATCAGTGACAATATTAAATATTTTTTGTATTTTTTTAAGAATTCTAAAAATAAATTAATATCAAAATAAATTTGTTCAGCTTTATATATGAAATTAAAATTATAACTTTAGATATTTATTTTTTATCAAGTAAAATATTTGTTTAAATTTGATAAGTTAAGTAATTTAAATTAAATATTTAAAAAATTAAGATTTAATTATTTGATATATAGTCAAATCTCATATTCTCTCTATAATTATCAAATTTTGCTTTCCTGTGAATGGTAATTATAGAGAGATTTGATTATAATATAATTTAATATGATATAGATAATTTAAAGATATTAAATATTGTATTATTGCTAAAATTATCATTTTCAAATAAGTTATTATATATAATGCTAATTAGAATTTATATGAAAATGATCATATAATTTAAATAATATAATATTAATTAAAATTTTATATAAAAATGATCATATAATTTTGCATAATAAAATCCAGTCCATCAAAAATAATATACATGATATTTTAGATACTGAAATCTTATTATTATTAAAATTAAAAATTATTTAATAATATATTTATTTTAATAATTATATTTAAAATAAATTTCTTTATAATTCAAAGTATTTAATATTTTTAGATTACTCACATCATATCTAGATCTTGAATAAAATATTAGATAGTTTAGAATAATTTAGAACTTGTATATTATACAAAAAATTAAAAAATAAAATAATTCAAACTTGAACTTAATAATTTGATCTGAATTATTAGAAATAAATAATTGCAAAATAATTTATTATCAAGTCAAAGAGTTGTTAATTTTAAATATACATATGTTCTAAAGTATTACATTTCCAAATAACTTTTAACAGCTCCAATTTGATGAATATATAATTGAATTCTGCAAAACTTAAATAATAACTGGTATAAATAATAATATATTTGTTATTTTTTGAGTTTTTTTATGAGAGGGTGAATTTCAAATAGAGATATAATACTCTTAAGCACTGATCAATTTGTTAATTTAATTATCTTTTCCAACTTATATAACTACTTTATCAAAGTGAAGAAAATCTTTATTTAAAATAATATATAGCAATACATTCGTAAAAAGAATAATGGATTTGGCTGGGTCAAGATAGACTAATATTGATGCTAAAGTAAGATGTGTTTTTTTAGTGTCATAGCATTTGTTGTTCATTGTCCAATTATTACAGTTTTCATTTTTCTTCATTAACTTGTTAAATGATGAGGCAATAAGAAAGAAGTTTTAATAAAAAGCTAATTCTAGAGTCTTGAAGTTCGGTGAGTGTACAGGATTCAGAGAATTTTTCAACTTTTGTAAAATTCCTTCTTACTGATATGTTCCAAGTAGGATTGTTAATTGGTTGAAAAAATTGAGTTAAATAAGAATGATAATGAAAAGAATTAATTTATAAATGCAAATTTGAATTAAATACGATATTTTCTTTTGGAAATGATCATACATGTAACTAATAAAGATAATTTGCCCGAGTATATTGAATAAGAATATTTTAATAATAATACAGATTAATTAGTAATGATAATAATCGAGATTAATTAGTATATAATATTAAACATAACGTTAGATATACATAAGTGATAAAAATCATATCACGTGTGATAAACAATGGTTAAACCGAACCAAGGAGTTTTTAAACCAAACCGAACCGATAACAATCCTAGTTCTAAGAAGCTTAGTTTCTTTTTGCAAAAATTACATTTATTTAATTTTAGTCCTGCTTTTCTTAATTAATCAAAGATTTCTCTTAGATGGTCCGTGAAAATACGTTCGTGTCATCTAGGTATACCACGACATAGTTTTAAAGAGTTCCCGTAAAAACCTTGTTCATCATTTGTTGAAAGTGTCCGACATTCGTTAGGTCGAAGGGCATGACTACGTATTCCGACCACATTAATTCTTCCTATTTCTTTTAAGAAGGTCTTGGATATAATCGTACCAATCTATTATTAGGTTTATTCTTCGACTTTCACTTTGCAGTATAACACTTCGTACTTGATAACTGATAAGTTTTTAATTCTTTGGGAGGGGGTTGTCTTGATTTATTAATTCAGAGGGGTTTTTGAGAGACGCATGGACTGGATGTTTGATTGCTCGAACTGAATGCTTGATTGCTCGAACTGGATGTTTGATTACTCAAACTGGATGCTTGATTGCTAAAAGTAAACGAGGGATTTAAATTTGGCGAAGAAAGGTAACTTCATCGATTAGTTGTTGTGTATCTGTAATACTGGTATTGCTAGTTGATTGCCGTATCCATTGTGCTGTCTTACCATCATAATTAATAAAGGCCACTCTAGAGTTTTGATTCATTTTAAAAAAACGCGTAAAATAATCCAATATTGCGCATATTATATAATGTAACATGTGATTTGAACCATTTACCAAATTTAGAAATTTTCTAAAACTCGACTCTGCGCCTGCGCATTCAAGTCGGCTAGATCACTACCCAATGCATGTTCAAGTAATATTTTTTCTTATTTCGGACGTTCTCCTCTCTATAGCATCTTACTTATTTGATCAGCCTAAAAAAATTGGTTGTTAGCATGAAACTACAACCATAAACACACATGATAATGAACTCTGAGCAGTCAACAGGCGATATACGAAATAAGTAGCTTGGTTTACCCTCGTTAAGCCATCGAGTCCAGCAAAGACTAAGAAACTTGATAACTCTTATGAACTAGCTTACAAAAAGCCACGTCTTCAGAGTATTATCTTGTTCCTCAGGCAATGCCAGCGAAACCTACTTCTTTGAACAACTGTATAGCTATTCTCCGAGTAAGTTGCGCACCCACGCCGACATGGACGTGACTTGCGCGAGAACTTATTCCCACATACCACACTGCCAACTACATATATAGTTACCACATGTATGTACCTGTTTTTACCTCACAGAGTCCAATTCCGATTTTTCCACTTCGGTGCTATTGCACTTTAAGTTCTGTAAATGAAAAATAGTGAGTAATTGATTTACATAAGTATTCATCGTACAAGAAAGACTAAAATCTGGTACTCATTAGATTAAACACAAGATTCACAAACTCAATGGATTCGTGGGATTTTTCCTGTTTGCACTCTCATCTTAGCAGCCCTCCATATCTGTGCTATATCTTCATCCTCCCTTAATGCCAGTTTTATTATCTTTTGCTTAGATCCCTCTTTCGTTTCAACCTCTTTTAGTTGTTTAGTCCCTCTTCCTTAGTCTCTTGGCTCTTGGTTTTCTTGTAGGGCTTGTTGGGGAAAGAGCTTGAATAGTAGTTCACTGATGTTGGATTTCTTGTTCTTTTTCTTTTTCTCTGGCTTCTTCCTATTTTTCTAAGGTTTCTTCAATTCTCGCCGATTTTCGAGGGTGGTTAATTCTTCCTGAACTTGGGTTAGTTCTTTTTTGGCTTCTTTGATTTCCTTTTGGGTTTCGGTGGCAGTTTTTTCACTGGATTTGGTTGCTAGGCTGCTTGCTCGGCTTATTTTTTGCTTGGCTAATTTTTTTGCTTGAATTTTTAACTTTACTTTCCGCAGAGATAATTTTTTAATTGTAAGAGGCTAAGAGTTTGGGTGGAGAATATCCAGAACGAATTGTCATTTCACAGACATTCGTGTCATCATACTTTCTTTTGGTGGTCGGGACTGATTCTCACATTTATTATTTTCGACCTCTGTAGTTATTTTGTCCGTCCATTTTTGAATAATTTTTATTATCAAGTTTTTCTTGATGACATACACTTCTTTATAGTTGCGACCTGGCATCAAAAGAAAAACCAGTCAGTTCATATTCTTATACGAAGTTATGTTATTGTTATAAATTATTTACCTACAGATAACGACATCACACGCAAGAATAACAACATTTTGGAGTGCATGGTCACTCCAGCGACCCTTTTGCTCCATTAAAATCCCATGTGCCATTTTATTTGTTTTACGTTGGCCGTGGAATACCGATTTCTCAAAAAGTTTTGATATTTTAGATTATGAAATTGAGCATACATAGTGTCAACATTACTGAAAGCTCCGCAGGATTTGTTTTATGTTGGCCGTGGAATACCGATTTATCAAAAATTTTGATATTTTTCGATTACGAAATTGAGAATACATAGTGTCGGCATTACTGAAATCTGGATTTATAGGATGTTGTTTAGAAACAAAGATCTCTACGACCTTGGAAGGAATCATACATTCATTATTAATAAGTAATTCATCGAGTGTCTTTTCAACCAAATTGAGAAGAGGTTCAATAATGGCTCCTTGCTCATCAGTGAAAGAGAATATCTGCTTTACTGGTGGGGGAGATGATTCTCGAATGTTTCGTTCAGTATTGTAATTATTAATCATCGCGTTTGATCCAAAAAAAGTAGATAATAAACCCGTTTTTTGAACACCGTAAATGTTTTTTCCTCAAACAAATTAAACGCTCTGGTGTGAATTTCAGACTCTTCATGAAAGACTTTGTCGTTATGTAGATTATCATTGAGTGATTTAGATATAGAATTACGAGACCTTTAGCGGACAAGCGCTATTTAATGCGTCGAGAGATTATTCAGTGTATTCTTTATAGTCTGCTTAAAAGCACCAGATCACAATCATTTAGAAAGCTTCGTTTTGGCCATGAAAATAATTGAGTCGTAAGAATTAAAAGCTGTATAAAAGCAAGAAATGAAGTGTAGAACGTTATTATATAGTTTTTTAAAGCAGCATGTCACAAACGACGCGACGCGTAAAAATATGAAAGGCATGATCTTAAATATGTTTGGCTAATACGTGGTTAATGTCAGGCAGTTTTGAAAATGTTTATAAAGTATAAAACTATGAAAGTGAAAAGCTTTTAAGCGTTTTTATTCCTCTTATGCATGCAGAAAAATTTTTCAGACTCACGAGTCTAGGGAGTAATCAATCGAATTTGTAAATAATTTACACATATAATGTAACACTATATTATAGAAGATTTTTGATCAATATTTTTTATTATAGTAAAAAGCAAATTTGATTCTGTCACTTGTAAATTATATGTATATAAAATATATTAGTAAAATGTAAATTATTTATTAGTGATAACTATAGAAATTCATTAAAAAAACATATAATTATCTAATATGTTAACATAGTATTAGAATATAAGTCTCTAAAGATTTGAAACTTTTTATAATATTTCAATTTATTTCATTTACAATAAGTTAGAATGTTTAAATATCTTTAATTTTTACTAAATACTATAAATTGTGCTTATAAGTAAAGTTATAGCTTATATTTAGAGTTACAAATTGGTATATAATACTATATACTAATCTTTAATTGAACTCGAACCAGACTCAAACTCATATAATGATTCAGTTTGAGTTTAGTTCAAATTTTGAATCTTTCTTGAACTCAAGCCAAAGTCCAGTTTGAGTTTGATTTAAATTTTGAACTGAACTCAAATTCAGACAAAAATCCAGTTCAGTTTAGTTTATAGGAATACTATAATAATATTTGATAATAAATAAATAAGATAAATATTAATTAACTTAAGTATTTGATAATTATTATTATAATTATTATTATCATTTTCATTCTCATTTTCATTATTAAATGAATTTTGTGATGAAATAGATTCAATCTCAGAAAATTCTGAATCTGATTCTTCATTTTTATTTTTATAATTAGTTAATTTAATAAATTTGTGACTAGATGTATTATCTATAAGTATTATTATATATTATTATTAAATTTAAAAATCAGTATCAAGATATTATAACTAATTATTAAAAATATTGTTTCTCATTCAGGCTTTAAAATTTGTTTTGTATATTACAAGAAGAGTTGAAAGATTAATTTCAGAAAATGTATATAATTTCAAAGATTTATTAATAAGAGATTTAAGTTTATTTGTTTCAAATATATTAATTGCAAGCAAAATAGTAATTTGAGTTTTATTCTTAAAGTAATTATTAATTAAGTAATTATAATTAAAATATATATAATATAATATTATCTTTTTAGTTCCAGAAACTAAATCAAATACTAAACTTTTATTAAATATTATACAAAAAAATAGTTCAATTTCATTAGTATTATATATATTATTAAGTGAATATGAACTTAATATTTTTTGTAATTATTTTTTTTTAATTGGTAATATTTTTATTAGTATATTAACTGCTTTAGTTAGAGTTTTATCAATAAATATCTATTCTTTTTAAATCTTGTTAATTAATTATTAGAAAAAGTAATATCTATAACTCCAAATCTGTTAGCAAAAATTTTTGCTTTTTTCTTAAGAATATTACCTGAAATAATTATTTTAGTAACAATAGCTTGTGTTATTTATAATTCTAATACTCTGTTTATTTGAGAATTTTTAATATTTTAAATATAAATTGTTATTATTATTTGACTAATTTCATTTAATATTAAATAAATATTCAAATTTTTAATAATTTTAGATATAGTAAAATAAAAAGAAATAATTTATAATATTTAGTATTAAAAAATTAATTATTTTTTGATATATAGTATTCAAATATTATTTATTATATATAAATTTCTTTACAAAGTACTTTGATTTTTATAGAATATTTTTTAGTATTATTTATAGTTTTGATTTTAAATATAAAGATGACATTATAAAAATTCTTCTATATTCACTATTTGTACATTGATCTCAAATTTTTATTAATAAAAAATCTCTTTATAATTACTATTTATTAATTAATTATTTATAAATCAATCATTTAGTTTAATTTTAATATGTATATATTTATTTAATATATATTTATTCATATTTGTACATATATTTATATATATTTGTATATATATTTATATATATATTTGTATATATTTATTTATTATATTATAAATATTGATTTATTATTTAGATATATTATTATTAAATTAAATAGTAATTATAAAAAGATTTTTTATTATAATTAATATATATTATGAAAATTATTTAATAATAATAGTGATTATAAAGAAAATATAACTATATAATTAAAAATTTGAAAAAGTAAAATTGAGTAATTATAGAGAAATATAATTATAAATAAATATAACTATAAAGAAATTTAATATATAATCAGATTAAATCTGAAAAAGATATATGTTAAAATATATAATATTATTTTTATTTTAATATAAAAATAAAAAATATTTATTAATAAAATTAAAAACTTTTA